AAAAAAAAAGAAAAAAAAAGAAAACTGGAAGTGGCACAGTGGCTCAAAGTGGTAGAGTACTGCTACCCTTTACCGGCCCAGGCCCCAAGTTCAAGCCCATAACAATAACCACCAACAAAAAAAGTCTCACGGACATTTTTGCCCAGTCCGGCTTTGAACTGTGATCCTCAGATCTCAGCCTCCTGACTAGCTAGGGTTACAGATGTGAGCCACTGGCACCCAGCTGTGTGCTAATGTTGATGACATTTTGCATGAATGTTCTTAAAGACTTTTAGCTGTATTTTATTGTAGTGTCTTAGTGTCTGTCCAGATCATGCTCTCTGTGGAGGATGAGTTAGGAAGTGTTCCTTCCTCTTTAATTTGGAAAATTTAAAGGGCTGTAGTTAATTTTCCTTTGAGTGTTTGGTACATTCATGGTGAGGCCTCTTTCTTCTTTGTTAGGAAAAAATCCCTGTGTTGTAGTGGTGGGTGGGTCGCGGTGACGTAGTGTTGGTTTCTGCCTCTCACAGAGCAGAGGGACCATGGTTTTGAGGTGACCCTCAGTTCCCCCGAAGACAGGGGGTCCAGCAGCGACCCTGAGCCCGACGCTGCCCCTTTCCAGGAGGGCGCAAGGTCCTCTGACCAGCTGGATGCCATGTCAAGTTTGCCCACCCCCAGCGACATCCTCGTGTCTTACTCCACCTTCCCAGGTGAGCTCCTGCGGCCCAGGCAGCTGCCCATGAAGTCCTGCTGTGCCCCTTGCCGTCTGTGCCCCTGAGCCTGCAGCCTCCCCTGGCAGCCTCTACTCAGGGGGAGTGGGCAGCTTAGGGATTCCCCCTGCCTTGGCTCTCTTGACTTTAAAATGGGGACAGTCATTGTCCCTACAGGGTGGGAAAGAAGGAAGGAAGGATTTCCTTCTTCCCTGGGGTGAGGCACGTGCTTCTCAGAGCTGTTGCTCCGCAGCTGGGAAAATAGGGTCGGAGGTTGAGTCAGGTTCCGAGCTTGTGCTGCGGGACTGGCGCTGCCCTCACCACGGGGACGTGGAGGGTCATCTTGATGTGGCCCCAGCCTGCACGACTGGCCAGGGGCGGCTCTGCAGCGGCTCTGTGTTCTCCTCCCGAAGGTTTCGTCTCCTGGAGGGACGTCAAGAGCGGCTCTTGGTACATCGAGACTCTGGATGGCGTCCTGGAACAGTGGGCTCACTCTGAAGACCTGCAGTCCCTCCTGCTGAGGGTGAGTGCCCGTCTGCCCCAGGGCGGGGGAGGATGTAGATGCCACGTGGCCCCACTGCATATGTGGGAACGGTGGGAGCCAAACCAGAAGTAAATGACCATTGAGCTGGGATGAGAGTCACAGCTGCTGTGAGAATTGTTGGGTGCTTTTGCTGTGTGTGTGTGTGTGTGTGTGTGTGTGTGTGTGTCCGTGTGTGTGTGTCCGTGTGTGTGTGTCCGTGTATCCGTGTCCCCCGGAGCTTGAACTCAGGACCAGGGCATTGTCAATGAGCTTTTTTGTTCAAGGCTAGCACTTTACCATATGAGCCACAATTCTACTTCTGGCTTCTTTTTGGTAGTAATTGGAGATAAGAGTCTCATGGGGGCTGGGAAGGTGGCTCAGTGGTAGAGCACTTGCCTTGAGATGAAGAGCTGAGGGACAGCGCCCAGGCTCAGAGTTCAGGCCCACGACTGGACCCCCCCAAAAAAAAAAGGTCTCATGGACTTTCTTTCCTGCCTGGGCTGGCTTTGAACCACAATCCTCAAATCTTAGCCTCCTGAATAGCTGAGATTACAGGTGTGAACCATCAGTGCCCAGCTTTTTTAATTTTTCATTATTTTATTTTATTTTTTGTCGGTCATGGGGCTTGAACTCTGGGCCTGGGCGCGTCCCTCAGCTCTTCAGTTCAAGGCTAGTGCTCTACCACTTGAACCACAGCGCCACTTCCGGTTTTTTGGTGGTTTATTGGAGATAAGAGTCTCATGGACTTACTTACCTGGGCTGGCTTTGAACCATGATCCTCAGATCTCAACCTCCTGAGTAGCTAGGATTATAGGCACTAGCCACTGGCGCCCAGCTCTTTTATTTTTTGACATAGGGTTTCACTATGTAGTCCAGGTTTGCCTCAAACTCATGATCCTCCTACTACAGCCTCTTGAGATTACGGGTGTGTGAGCCTCCACTTCTGTAAATTTTTTTTTTCTTTTTGTCAGTTGTGGGGCTTAAACTCTGGGCTTGAGCATTGTTCCTGTGCCTTTCAGCTCAAGGCAAGCGCTCTACCACTTGAGCTATAGCATCACTTCCAGTTTTCTAGTGGTTTATTGGAGATAAGAGTCTCTCAGACTTTCTTGCCCAGGCTGGTTTTGAACTGTGATCCTCATATCTCATCCTCCTAAGTAGCTAGGATTACAGGCACCCAACTGAGTTTTTTTTTTTTTTTTTTGAGGTGGTTTGGGGGCTTAGACTCAGGGCTTGGCTGCTATCCCTAAGCTCTTTTACTCAAGGCTAGTGCTCTACTACTTGAGCTATATAGCACTTCTGGCCTTTTAAGAGTCTTACGGATTTTCCTGTTTGGGTTGGCTTTGAACCTCGATCTTCAAATCTCAGTCTGGTTGGTGTGTGTGTGTGTGTGTGTGTTGCCTGTCTTAGGGCTTGAACTCAGGACCATGTGTGTGTGTGTGTGTGTGTGTGTGTGTGTGTGTGTGTGTGTGTGTGTTGCCTGTCTTAGGGCTTGAACCTAGGACCTGAATCTTAGGACCTGGATGCTGTTCCTGAGTCTCTTTGTGCTCAAGGCTAGTGCTCTACCACTTGAGCCACAGCGCCTGCCACTTTCAACTTTTTCTAAGTATTTTATTGAAGATAAGATTCTTAAGGTCCAGATGCCAGTTGCTCATGCCTATAATCCTAGCTACTCAGGAGGCTGAGATCTGAGGATCACAGTTCAAAGCCAGCCTGGGCAGGAAAGTCCATGAGACTCTTATTTATAATTAACTATCAGAAAACTGCAAGTGGCACTGTGGCTCAAGTGGTAGAGCTCCCACCTTGAGCAAAATAGTTCAAGGACAACTCCCACACCCAGAGTTCAAGCCCCACAACCGACAAAAAAAAAAAGTCCTTGAGACTATTCTGCCCAGGTTGGCTTCAAACCACAATCCTCAGATCTCAGCCTCCTGAGTAGCTAGGATTATAGTTGTGAGCCACTGGCCCCAGGCTTTTTGTGTTTTTATACTTGCAGTTGAGATTTTTATTAGGTAGCTCCCCTGCAGGATGCTACAGCTACAGCTGTGTTTTAAAGGGCACATTTAGTGGGTCCTCTCCTTTTCCCCCTCTTTTCTTGCTTCTGGGAAGAGGTTTGAATTCACAGGTGCCTCTGTGGTTGTGTTTGCAGGTTGCAAATGCCGTTGCAGAGAGAGGGGTTTACAATAAACAGATTCCTGGTTGTTTCAATTTCCTCCGGAAAAAGCTTTTCTTTAAAACTTAAGGCTGGGCCCACTCCTCCTGCCTTGTTGGTCACCCCTATAACCTTCCTGCTCCGGGAGGTTGAGTCGTCTACTTCACTGGATGCTAAGGATCTTGTAGCTTGTGGGGTCCGCTCGCTCCCTTCTGGATGTGGATGTGCCTTGAGCTTCCCAGCTGGGGACAGAGGTGCAGAACGCCACCGTGGAAGACCCGTGCACACTCCCTTCCAGCTTAGGAGCCGTGGGTCTGCAGAGATCTTTGCCTGCTGACAAACCAGCAACTGTGCTAGAGTCCTAAACAACTGGGATTCCCAACGAAGGTGGTTAACTTCCCTTTCTCAAATTATTTTTATTATTATTATTTTTTGGGGTCTGATCGTGGGGCCTGAACTCTGGGCCTGGGCGCTGTCCCTCAGCTCTTCAGCTCAAATCTAGCGCTCTACCACTTGAGCCACAGCGCCACTTCCGGCTTTTTTTTCCTGCTTATGTGGTGCTGAGGAATCGAACCCAGGGCCTCATGCGTGCAAGGCAAGCACTCTACCACTGAGCCACCTTCCCAGCCCCTCAAATTATTTAAGAAAATAAATCTTGTGTGATTCTGGATTTTGTTTTACCTATTTTCCTCCATCTTGCTCCTGCTCTGTTCTTCCTAATAGTGGAGGGTTGTGGGTTTTTTTTTGTTTGTTTGTGTGTGATTTTTCTTTTTTTTAAACTTAGGGCCTGGGTGCTATCCCTTGGTTTTTTTGTTTTTGTCGGTTATGGGGCTTGAACTCTGTGCTTGGGCGCTGTCCCTGCGCTCTTAAGCTCAAGGCTAGCGTTCTACCACTTGAGCCACAGTGACACTTCCGGTTTTGTAGTGGTTTACTGGAGATAAGTCATACGGACTTCCCTTGCCGGGCTGGCTTTGAACTGCGATCCTCAGATCTCAGCCTCCTGAGTAGCTAGGATTATAGGTGTGAGCCAGCAGCGCCTGGCTACCTTGGTTTTGCCCTTCAAGGCTGGTGTTCTACCACTTGAGCCACAGCTCTACTTCCAGCTTTTTGCTATTTAATTGGAGATAAGAGTCTCATGGACTTTACTATCTGGGCTGGCATCGAACCACAATTCTTAGATCTCAGGTCTCTTTGCTGCGTAGCTAGGATGACAAGCATGAGCCATTGGCAGCTGACTTCCTTTTTTTCCCCCAAACATTTCTCCATGGCTTTCTTTATGTCCTATAGGAGTGAAGCTCAGAGAGCTTGAGCTCTTCTCCATTCTTTCCAAGTCTGGAGGGGACCTCTGACCTGAGCCTGGGTCTCTGGAATCCCAACGGGACCCTGTTCCAGACTGCAGAGAAAGCTGCCCCCCGGGGTGGTAGGCTGCCCTCAGCCCGGCTGATTCCCTGTTAATAAGACTCATTGAGATCAGATTCATTGAATTGATTGTTACTTTATTGTTACTTTCCTCCTTCGTCTGACGATCTCAGAGACATCCTCATTTAGTTCCTTGCCATCACCTGCAGGACACATGCAAGCAAACAACAGGTTAATCCTCTTGGTAGAGCTGCACTGAGCACGTTCCTGCCTGATTCTGTCTCCATGCATCACAGGGGGCTGTGCTTTCTGAGGAGTTCTAGAAAAATATGATCATAGCTTTGTATTGACCTTCTGAGGTCTTCTTTAGCTGAGAGTCCTGTTTGGGTGTGTGGTCAGGGGTGTTTTATTTGTGAACCCCTAAAAATGATATGCCAAATGCATGAGATAGATGAGATTTTAAGTTTCCTGCTGCTGTTTCTGAGGCACGGTCACACACTGCAGCGGAACTGCAATTTGCTTTCACAACCTCTCACTTGCTAAGCATACGTTGTGACCATTCAGTCACACTTGCAGTCCCCACACATTTTAACAGGCCATTTTGGAGCAGCGAAGATGCTACACATATAGCAGCGATGCAGACCAGAGTGTGAACACGTGTCCAGGACCACTGCAGCCACATAGAAATGTAAACTAGGGGCCAGATGGAAGCCGCCATCATGATTCACCAGGGAGAGCATGGAGCCCTCATACATGAAGAAATCAGAGCTGTTTGGGCCAGAATGGTGAAAATATGAAAGGTGATACATAGAGTGGACCTTGGTTGCATGAGAAAAGTTGTGGATTGGGAATAAAACCTTTTTTTGGTAAGAAGAGTACATGGGAGCTATTTATTATTCTTTTTTTGGGGGTGGGGGCAGTACTGGTATTTAAACTCAGGCCCTCACACTTGGAAAAGAGATGCTCTACCACTTGAGCCATACCTCCAGACCCTTTGCTTTGCTTTGGTTATTTTCAGGTTAGGGTCTCATTTTAAGCCTTGGCTTAAATCATGCTTCTTGTGTGAGCATGGATGACAGGCGTGAGCCACAGCACCCAGCCTTGGGGCTTTCCTCATAGCACAGATAATAGGCTTGTACCACTGAGCCTGTACCACTGTTGGTTGAGATGGAGTTTTGTGAACTTCAAACCATAATTCCCTGATCTCTGCCTCCAAGGTAGCTGGGATTACAGGTTTGTGCCACCAGTTTACATGTAGGCATTTAAAAAGTGTGGGCATAAAAACCAGAAGACCACACACAGAGTTATTAATGTTGCAGAATGGAATGATGGAGACTTTTTGCTCCCTCTCCCCCAGCCCAATTATGGGGCTTGAACTGGGCCTGGGCACTGTCCCTGAGTTCTTTTGCTCTAGGCTACTATTCTACCACTTTGAGCTGCAGCACCACTTCTGGTTTTCTGGTGGCTAATTGGAAATAAGAGTTTCATGGATTTTCCTGCCTGGGCTGGCTTTGAACCATGATCCTCAGATCTCAGCCTTCTAAGTAGCTAGGATTACAGATGTGAGCCACTAACACCTGGCTGAGACTCCTATTTTTGTGTCCGATATACTCCTCTATTAGTACTTTTGCAAAGACATTTATTACCTTTTTTTTTTTTTTTTGCCCGTCATGGGGTTTGAACTCAGGGTATAGGCACTGTCCCTGAGCTTCTTTTGTTCAAGGCTAGCACTCTACCACTTGAGCCACAGTGCCACTTATGTTGTTTTCTGTTTATGTGGTACTGAGGAATTGAACCCATGGCTTCATGCATGCTAGGCAAGCGCTCTACCACTAAGCCACATTCCCAGCCCATGTATTACCTTCTGAACAAACAATAAAGCTAAAGACTGCTGAAGGCCCACATGACACTCTTGTGCATGTGTGTGCACAGGCCTGGGCCTCCCAACTCCTCCCTGAGCGAGTCTTCATGGCAGCTTCCTGGCCTTGGCTCCTCATCTGTCTAGGCTGAGTGGGGCAGGTGTCCCAGCCCCTGCAGGGCTATGTGTACACACAGGACACGTGTGCTCTTGCTGGGGCCACTACACGTTCCCGCTGGCCTTTGTGTAGCTGCTGGGCAGCCTCCTCCAGCGGGGAGCTGGCTGCCTGCTTTCCACTCCTGGAACCGGTACCTAGCATCTACGCTAGCCTGCAGGTCCTCTAGCTGCTCCGTAAGGTTTGCTTCCCTGTTGTCTCCATTGGCTGGCCTGCTCTGATGAGCCTGAGTGTGACTGGGAGCAGCTGACACCCAAGGCCAGGACAGTTGTCCTGGCCCCTACCAGGACCCTGACAGTGATCTCAGGCCCAGCTGTTCTATGACTCACAGGAGCCACGGATCTGGCTGCCATCCTTCCCGACCAGCGAGGCTCCTTTAAAGTGCTGGGGCTTTCTACCGCTTTCCCTCTGCCAAGATTCCATCATGGGATTCTCAGTTGTTGTTTTAAATCCACAAATGACTGTTGATTGTCCATTTTTCTCCACCAAACTTTTGGGATCTCAGGCTATGTCCACTTTGTTGGCGCAGGGTGAATGGGGGAGCTGGAAGCAGCTGCCTGTGGACATTGCTGTTCTGGGCCCCCTGTGACCACATGCTCATGGTTGCAGCTGCCTATTTGGTTTTGTAACAGAGTGAGGATTTAATTGCATTTCACAGCTTCCTGCAAATGAAACTTGGAGCAATGAAACCAGCCTCTCGCTCCCTCTGGGCTCAGGTACAAACACCACCTTCCCTACCTGCCCTGGCTCTTGAACGTGCTGATGAGGCCAGGCTAGCATGATGCTGGAGTGCTTGAAGACATTTCCATTTTACACAGTACCCTTTTCCCTCCTGGCATCTGCTCTAGGTCCCGTGTCTCCACTGTCCCCACAACTTCTGGATACTGGTGCTAGCAACTTTAAAAGTTAGTATTACATCTGTTTTCTGGAGACGGTCTTGCTTTGTAGCCCACTCTGGCCTGGAATGTATCCTATAGCCTAGGCGGGCCTTGAACTCCTGATCCTCCTTAAAAGGCTGGCTCAGCCTTTTAAGTCTGAGATTGAAATATTTTGTCAGCCCTGGGCTTTCAGCTCAGGGTTTTGTGCTTGCTAGGCTGGCACTCTTAAAATTTGAATCATACCCACGGTCCTTTTTAAATATTATTTTTGGAAAATACAATTCTCATTCAGGACCTGCCTGTGACCGTGATCCTCCTCATGCCTCGTGGCGGCTGGGATGACAGATGCACAATGCCACACTGAGGTGGGGTTTCACTACCCATCCCCTCACCCCATGGCCTTCAACCACAGTCCTCCAGATCTACACTTCCCAAGTGGCTTGCCCATAAATTATTTTCTAAAATAAAGTTATGGTGGTCATTATAAATAAATGTGTGTTGAAGCTGGGCGCCGGTGGCCTATACCTGTAATCCTAGCTATTCAGGAGGCTGAGATCTGAGGCTCATGCTTTGAAGTTAGCCCAAGCAGAAAAGTCCATGAGACTCTTATCTCCAATAAACTACTCCAAAAAAACATGAAATGGTACTGTGTGGCCCAGTGCTTGTGTGGGCATTGACCTGGTCCGGTTCTTACCGAATTGATCCAGCCGATGTAGTTGGACACCCGGGTGAAGACTGAGGGCTTTTGGGGGTAGTTGCAGCCCAATGAGGACCCGAAGCTGACCACACCATGCACCTGCCACTGGCCACTGCTTGTCTGGCAGTTCAGTGGCCCACCGGAGTCACCCTGAGGAATCAAGAGTTGGGGTGAAGGGATGGGGTGATGGAGGAGGGAAGGGGGAGCCCACTGGAGCCCTGTTTCTCAACATACACATTGTGTTCTACGTAAGTCACCATGTCCTATGAACCAGCCCGGTGGTGAGCACTGGTGGCATCATCATACCACCAGTGCTACCATGTCTCCTATGTGCCCTGCCCTGCCTGAGCAGTGTCCTGAGGGGACCTGGAAAATCTGGGAGTCTAAAACGGGACGTTCAGAAACCTTAATTTGTTCAGAGCTTATGGCCTTGCCCATGGTGGGGCAGGGAAGCGAAGGAGTGGAGAACGCGATGCCGGCGAGGCTGCCACCCAGGCTTCACTACCACAGCCACGTCCCTCCTCCATGAAGGCCTTTCCTGGCATGCTATTAGGGCAGAGGGGTGGGGTGCAGTGGATCAGAAGGGTTTGGGGGTACAGTTGATTGTTATTTAGGGACCTCTCCACTACAGTATCTCCTCTTCCTCTCATAGCAATTTCTTCCTTTCCTTCTTTTTCTTTTTTTGTTGGTTATGGGGTTTGACCTCTGAGCCTGGGCACTGTCCTTCAGCTCAAGGCAAGTGCTCTACCACTTGAGCCACAGCGCTACTTCTGGTTTTCTGGTGGTTTATTAGAGATAAGAGTCTCATGGGGCTGGGAAGGTGGCTCAGTGGTAGAGTGCTTGCCTTGCATGCCTGAGGCCCTGGGTTCGATTCCTCAGCACCACATAAGCAAAAAGAAAAAAAGCCGGAAGTGGCGCTGTGGCTCAACTGGTAGAGCGCTAGCCTTGAGCTGAAGAGCTGAGGGACAGCGCCCAGGCTCAGAGTTCAGGCCCCACGACCGGACCCAAAGAGTCTCATGGACTTTTCTGCCTGGGCTGGCTTTGAGCCGCGATCCTCAGATCTCAGCCTCCTGAGTAACTAGGATTACAGGCATGAGCCACCAGTGCCCGGCTTTTATAGCAATTTCTTTTGGTTAAGAAACCATCTTCAGAAAGGCTTTCATGGCAGCCTCCAAGAGGGGACTCCTTGGGCTACTGATGGGATTAATTTAACAGCTAATCTGGAAGCCACCTCAGAAAGGCCTTAGTCCAGAGAACATTTCCCCTTTCCTTAGTGTAGGAGGGATGGCAGTAAGGAGAGACCCCAGGAAGGACTTCTCAGTAATGAAGTCAGGTGGACACTATAAGGGAAATCTCAAAACATCTTCCCCACCCCACAAAGATAAAGGTCCAGTTCTGAAATCTCCAGAGCTGTTCCCACAGTTTCTGCCCAGAGGTGCTAGGAGGGGGTGGCAGGCCCCCTGGGGCTCTTCCCCACGCTCACATCTTGGTGTAGAGGGGGTCCCTAACTTTGTGTACTCACATTGCAGCTGGAGATCACCCCGTCGCCGCCGGCGCAGACCATGGTGGTCTTCACGGCACTGCCCCACCAGGTAGGTTTTGAGCACGTGGCAAAGTCCACAACTAGTAACCGGCCCTGCTGCAGGATATCAGGACTGGGTCCTCCGGCTGGGTGAGACCAGAGAGAAGGCATTAGAGCGACTCCTGAGTAAAAATGAAGTGCGGACACCTACCTATTGAGCTTTCTCTGTCCAGCACCATTTTTGGGGGGGGGTTATGGGCTTGAACTCAGGACTTGGGTGCTGTCCCTGAGCTGTTTTTTTTTTTCAAGGCTAGTGCTCTACCACGTTGACCCACAGTACCACTTCAGTTTTCTTGTGATTAATTGGAGATAAGAGTCCCATGGACTTTCCTGCCCCAGCTGGCTTTGGACCGCAATCCTCAGAGCTCAGCCTCTTGAGTAGCTAGGATGGCAGGCGCAAGCCACCAGCACCCAGCCAGCACTGTTCTTCCTGGCCCCCTACCTTTCTTCCATCCAAAGGGTTGCAATGGGAAGAACAGTTGTGCTGTCTGTACTTATGTCCTCACCATTGAGTGGGTAGTGTTATGGCCATTGCTGATTGGTTCAGTGGTGAGCACCTGACTCAAGCTAAAGCCAATGAGCTTCTTCCCCTGGGAATTTGGGCTGGACACTGAGATCCTAGCCAGAGTGCTGTTGGTGGTGACTGCTATATTCTTCCATGTAGCAAAAAAAATGAGATAGACCTTAAAGAAAAGAAATCTGAGGGAGTGTTGAGCTTGTTTCTTACAGGTTTGCAGTCCTTAGTTCTAACTTGTTCTTGATCCTTTTTAGGATGTGGGGCCTAGGGCTTGAACTCAGGGACTTGGCACTCTCCCTTAGCATTTTCACTCCAGGTTAGCACTTTACTCCTCTACTTTCAGCTTTTTGTTGGTAATTGGAGATAAGAATCTCTCAGATTTGGGGGGAGGGGGAGGCTGGGAAGGGATGTGAAGGGTAAACCAAAGGAGGAGGCTGCAATGCTTGGTAAGAAATGTACCCATTATCCTGCCCATGTAATTGTAACCCCTCTGTACAGTATGTTCACAAAAAAAAAAAGAATCTCTCAGATTTGTCTCCCTGCTCTGGCTTTGAACTTCGATCCTCAGATCTCAGTCTTGTGGGTATCCCCACAGACACATTTTCTGTTCTCTCAGCAACCTGTGATGCAGGTACGGTTATCATCTCTATTTTACAGATGAGGAAGCAGCTAATAGTGGAAGAGCTGAGATTGGACTCCAGGCAGACTCATCACTGAGAGGGTGAGAGCACCCTGGCTTGCACTTACTTATCAGCCTGCCCCAGCCGGTGACGTAGCAGGGGTAGTTGTTGGGGAGAATGGTGCCAGCAGCTGGGAGTCGGGCCAGCTGGATCTTGTTACTGAGGGTGGCATGGCTGGCCAGTTTGAGCAGGGCGATGTCATTGCTGGATTGGGAAAGAGGTAGGATGTGAGGAGCGTGGAGCCTCCCCCTCCCCCTCCTCTGTCATTTCTCAGTGTGTGGTAATAATCCAAGGCTATCCCAGTAGATGGCATGGGTGGGCTGGGTACCTCATAAATGAGGAAGAGCTTGTGGAAAGGGGGTGGGAGAGACTGTCCTATGGCATGTCTGCTCTTAGGTCTGCACCTTACCCAAGTCCCCTCAGCATGGACTGGACGCAAGGTCAAGGGAAGCCTGGGGGGTCCAGGAACCTGCAGGTATAACTGGTAGGTATCCCACTGTCTCTCCTGCTCCTCCCCACCCGCATCCCAGGAGCTCCCCACCCAGGTGACTTTGGGACTAGCTCCAAATCTGGGGATGAGAGCTTCTTTCTCTCCCTTCAGAAGGAAGGAACAGAGGAGGGGTGAGGTTGAGCCCCCTCCGTGCCCCACCCCCACCCTGTAGTGCTGGGACAGAACGTACCCTTGGGCGACCTGGTTGGGGTTCCAGTTCTCGTGCAGTATGTGCTTGGAGACCCTGATGGCCAGCGAGCCGGACTCCTCAGTGGACAGTCTGTGCCGGCCCAGCACCACACGGTAGGTATTCGTGTTGCTGGGAGGGGCCATGTGAAGAGGTCAGCATCCTCTTTTCTCCACCCCCCCCCACCCCTGCAGGCAAGGACACCCCCAACACATAACATGGGAGAAGGGACTAGCAAGCTACTGCTATATGTATGTCTAGTGGGACTTGGGGAGTTTTCTTCCCTGGGGTAGCCAGTTATGAAGTGAATAGGATAACCAAAACTATAATCATCCTAACTATCCTGTACTAATTATAAGCTATAACATGTAATAAAAGTTGTGCTAATATATCTGGATGCTAGAGGCTCACACGCCGGTAATCCTAACAACTCAGGAGGCTGAGATCTCAGGACTATGGTTCAAAAATGTAGCAGACCCAATAGGACCAAGGGAGGCATTCCATCCCTGGAGTCCCAGGGAAAGAGGAGGACAAGTGAATAGTGCAAGCCTTATTCTTGCCTTTCCTCCCCCCTCCTGGTCCTAAGGCTTGAACTTAGGGCCTGGGTGCTGTCCCTGAGCTCTTTTTGCTCCTGGTCCTAGGGCTTGAACTTAGGGCCTGGGTACTGTCCCTGAGCTCTTTTTGCTCAAGGCTAGCATTCCACTATTTGAGCCACTTCCAGCTTTTTCTGGAAAAATAGTTAAGAATCTGGAGATAAGAGTCTCACAGACTTTCCTGCCTGGGCTAGCTTTGAACTGGAATCCTCAGATCTCAGCCTTCTGAGTGGCTAGGGTGAACCATTGGCACACAGCCCTTGTGGGCCTTGTTGATGGATATATGTGCTATCATTAACCTTTCTTGAGCACATACTAGGTGACAGGCACTAGAGTGCCCACACTGAACTCTGCTATCTTGTTTTCTCTGTTATTCTATTTTTGCAGGAGATAGTATTGGATAAGGCACTTAAGTTGTCAAAGGAACACACTTCCTGTCAAAGGAGCACACTTCCAAGCACAGGCAGATCATCTGGCATTCCCTGCAAGGTTAGGAGCTGAGCTTTCTCCTCTTCTCTCCATGTCCAGAGCACTCAATCCATGCCATGTATGAATTGACCAACATTATGTCATAGATTGACAGACATTTGTGTCTCTGACAGGCAAGTGGCTATTTGCAAGGTTCCTTTATAGAGGGTGATTCAGCCACCATTGGAGAAGAGGTCTAGGCAGGAGGGGTGGCCAGGGAAAACCAGTTACCTGATGCAGTGGGCGGCTGTTAGGACCCAGTTTGTGGCCACCAGGGAGCCACCACAGGTGTGATACCACTGGCCACCGGAGCTGTACTGCAGGGAGACCTGCGGAAGAATCACAGGTGTGCTGGTAGCTGGAAGCGGGGGCCCAGGCTCCCTCAGAGGAGGGCTGGACCTAGGTGAGTGCATAACTCAGGTACAGAGCTTAAGAGGGTGCCCAGCTTCCAACAATAAGAGAAAACCAGGTTGATGTTGTTTTTTTGTGATTGCACTTAAGTGTTTTTTTTTTTTTCACCCAAGGCTGATGCTGTACCACTTGAACCCCCTCCACATTCCAGTTTTTGGCTAGTTGATTAGAGATAAGAGGCTCTCAGATTTGTCTGCCTGGGCTAGCTTTGAACTCTGTTCCTCAGAGCACAGCCTTCTGAATAGCTAGGAGTACAGGCAAGAGCCACTAATGCAGGGCTTAATGCTTTATATAAACACACACACACACACACACACACAATCTATGATTAAAAAAAACCCAAACCAACAAAACCTTTTTGGGATGGGGCTGGTGGTTGCACGCTTGTGATCTCAGCACTCACAAAGGCTGAGACAGGAATATGATGAGTTCAGACTGGTCTGGGCTAACTGTCTCAAAAACCAAGAAAGGCTGGGGAGGTGGCTTAGTGGTAAAGTGTTTGCCTAGCATGCATGAAGCCCTGGGTTCAATTCTGTAGTACCACATATACAGAAAAAAGCCGGAAGTGGCACTGTGGCTCAAGTGGTAGAGTGCTAGCCTTGAGCAAAAGAAGCTCAGGGACAGTTCCCAGGCCCTGAGTTCAAGCCCCAGGACTGGCAACCCCCCAAAAAAAACACTACCACCAAACAAAAACCCCTCAAAACAATATCAGAGATTTATATAGGGCACTAAAATATAACTGTTGGAAACCTCTCCCTTGAAACTTGTTAGGAGATATAATCTTATTATTTCTCCAGTTCAAAATGTCTAAAAACTAACGCTTGAAATTGCCCCACCTCCCAATCCTCTTCTCCTCAGGCTTCCCTGTCTTGCTCCATGGCCAATCCACTTTCTAGCTGCTTGGCCCCACTCTTGTGTCCTGCCCAGTATTTTCATTGATATCACTATTATTACAGCAAATATGCCTTTGTCACACACGTTTAACTTGTAGTTTTGGCCAAGGGTGGCTTAAAATAAAAGGTCTAAAACTAAAAACTAAAGCTTCCCAGCATACACGGCACAGCTCTGTTAGTGGGAGAAGCTCTCCGTCAATCTTGAGTTATCATCAGTTGTATTTAAATTATTATGTGATTGTTCAGTGTTTCCTTGTTACTAATTTTGTGAAAATAGGCCTCCCTAAAATGCAAGTGGTGCCCAGCACTGATGACAGGTCCTGATTGTAATCTTAGCTTCTCAAGAGGCTGGGATCTACAAAACCAGGGTTTGAGGCCAGACTGGGCACACGGAAATCTACATGATTCTGTCTCCAAAATAATCAGCAAAAAAGAAAAAGAAAAAGAAACAAAACTGGGCTGGAGGTGCAGCTCAAATGTTAGACCATCAGCAGAGCATGGAGGCTGAACAAGTGCAAGGCTCTGAGTACAGACTTAGTACCAGGAAAGCAAGCAAGCAAGAAAGGAAGGAAAGGAGAAAGAGAGAGAGAGAGAGAGAGAGAGAGAGAGAGAGAGAATGGTTTCCCCCAAAGTGAGAAATTTATATTTATGTTTGTTGGAAGGTGCATGGCTTTAGTGGAATCAAGCCTCCAAGGTTCAGTGCTGAACACTCTACATGGTGTCTCCTTGGGGCCAGATAGATACCAGAGGATACCAAGAATTTACAGAACATCAAGGTAAGGAAACATTTATTTTCATTGTTAGCACTGACTTACCTACAAGTAGGGATCAATTTGCATGAGCAACACCAATTGGCTCATTGAAACAAAGAACATTTGCATAGGAATGATGAATGGTCCATTGGAATAACTCTATCTGTAAGCAAGCATCTGATCAGCTAACATTAAGAACAGCTGTGAACCTGAGTGTCAGGGAAGTGGGCGGGGCAGCAGCTTATCAAAGCTCTTGCTTCCAGGCATTTATTCCTTAAGTTGCTGCTGCTTCCAGGAGTTTCTACTAGTTCTCATCTTTGCCAATCTATCAGATCCCACAAAGGAGTGATGAGAAATGAGTGGGGGTGGGGAGGGAGGATGGAGAGGTGGCTGACTTACCTGCCAGGGCCAGCTGTTGGGTGATGCATTCTGGCCTCCAACCACCCTGCCCAGGTCGGGTAGAGAAGCGGTAAGCCCAGAGCTGATGGCTGTGGGGAGAGAAAGAAAGGATCATGAGTGTAGAAGCAGTGACCCAAGAAATGAAAACTACAGTTGCTGTGTACCCAACCAAGGTGGAATTCCTCATTCTAGAAGGACCCCAAGAGGTCAGAGTCCTCCTGCCCTTTGCTGTGCTTCTTTGGACCCAAGGATGGGATGACAGGACTTACCTCCAGCCACCAATGCAGACAGCAGCAAGGTCCTGATCATGGTGTATGCGTGGGATTGGATAAGGATGACCCTGTCTCAACCCAGGTTTTATGAGCAGACTTATCAGCATAAGGAACACACAAGATGGAGATTTTCTCAAACTCCGATAAGAGAAAGAGCTGTTGTCCAAATATTGTTTTTCCATTGCCTTCCACCTGTTAACCTGGAATTACATTGAGAAAGATGCCAAAGATAGGTATTGAAATGTGGGTTCTACATGCTTTTAAGAGATTACATTGTGTGTTGAGAAAAAGAAGAATATCAGTCGTTGGCCCTTGGAATTTTAGTTTAATAATAATTAAAAAAGAAAAAAAAGGTTAGGACTTGAACTCAGTGCCTAGGCGCTGTCCCTGAGCCCCTTTGTGCTCAAGGGTAGCACTCTACCACTTGAGCCACAGCTCCATCTTTGGCTTTCTCTGAGTAGCTCTAGACATAAAAGTCTCATGGACTTTTCTGCCCAGGCTGGCTTCCAACTGGAATCCTCAATTTCAACCTCCTGAATAGCTAGGATTACAGGTGTGAACCACCTGTACCCAGCACACCTACTGCTTTTGACGTTAGTGGTTCTTTTTTTTTTTTGGTCGATCGTGGGGCCTGAACTCTGGGCCTGGGCGCTGTCCCTCAGATCTTTAGCTGAAGGCTAGCGTTCTACCACTTGAGCGTCAGCCCCACTTCCGGCTTTTTCTGCTTATGTGGTGCTGAGGAATCGAACCCAGGGCCTCATGCATGCAAGGCAAGCACTCTACCATGAGCCACCTTCCCAGCCCGACGTTAGTGGTTCTTATGGGGCTGGTTTAGCCATCAGGGGGTGTGTGATAGCGTCTGGAGATGTTTTTGGTTGTTGGGGCTAGAAGTGGTACTATTGGCATCTAAAGTAGAGAATAGAGAGGCTGCTGAAGATTTTTGTCCCAGGTTTTGTTTCACAATACCCAGGACTAGCAAGGTGCCAGTGGCTCACGCCTGTAATCTTAGCTGTTCAGGAGACTGAGATATGAGGATCCCAGCTCAAAGCCAGCTTAGGAAGACAAATCTGAGAATCTTCTCTCCAATTAACCAGCAAAATGCCAAAAGTAGAGGTGGTATAGCTATAGGGGTAGAGGGAAAGCCATGAATGGAAAAAGCCAGATAAGAGCATGAGTCTTGAGTTCAAAACCTCTGTTTGAACCGGGACAAAAACATTGAACATAAAAAAAAGAGAATTCAGTCCTGACTGTCAGCCTGATGCAAGGGTAAGAAACGAGGATGAAAGAACTTTGTTATCTCCTAAGGGCATGCCACGGTGATGAGGTCTGGGCTGCAGAATCTATGGAGTTGGAATAGTACAGGGCCTGGGGCAGGGTCCCAACCCCACCTCCAGTGCCTGAAACCCTCAGACCCTTGTGTCTTTTGACCATAGTAGTCACAAGAGCAACCGTTTCTGAAGTCCCATATTTTCTCTTCAAGGCTAATGTCAACCTGGCATGTTGTGCCCATGTATCTGTTTGTTTTAATATAAAAATAGTTTTGTCAGGGTGAGGCCAGGGAACAAACATCAGTTTGGCACATTGTCATGGGCTGACTCTGTCCTTGGGCAAATCACTTTGTGCTTTCTCAGCTGGGCGCTGCCTAACAAGTGAAAGGAACATATGCCCAGCCTGTCTTGACACATGGCTGCAAGGACTGCAAAGGTCAGACACCAAAAACGTCAGCCATTCATTTGAATCATAAAATGACCAAGTCTTAGAGAAGGGCTGGATTCAGGTTTCACTGGCTTCAGGGCTCTGATGACCAGGATTCAGCTTCTCTGTAATGTTTGGCTCTGCCTTCCGCTGTGGTGTTCACTCTCAGGCTCTACCAAGTTGCCCGAAGCTCCAGACTGTACCTTCCTATACAACAGACCCTTTGGTCCAGGGTTTCTCTGCTTTGGAGCTACCGGCACTTGGGAGCTGCCTGATTCTTTGTTTTGGGGGCTTTGTAGGAGGCTTGTCAATATTCTTGGCTCCCATGCACTAGATACTGGTAGCCTTTCCCAGTTGTGGCAACCAGACATGTCTGCCAATGTCAAATGTACTTTGGGAAGCAAGTTATCCCCTCTTCCCTTTCCTTCCCATTTTGCTGTGGTAGCCCATTACATGAGTGGAGGAGAACCTTTGATAGCTCTACCCACCCACTTATCCTACATTTGGACCTGCATCTGGTCACATGACTACCCTTGGACCAATGGTTGTCCCGGTGGAGAGGATGCAGTGCAGTGATTGGTCAGGCCTGGAGCACATGCTTCCCCCTTGGTCCTGGATGGTGAGGCTTACCTAAGCAAACAGAATGCTATAATAATATCTAGGCTTCAGTGCCAGGAGGAGAGGAGGTGGCAGAATGGGAGGGGAGAACAAGGAGCCAGAACAGCTCATTCTGTCTCTCAGTAACTCATTGTATTTTGTGTGTGTGTTTGGGGGGTGGGTCGTTTGGCATTTGAACTCAGGGCTGCTGTTTTGTCCAACAAGATGGCAGTGGGTCAAGTCCTAAGCTGGGATGCGTCCTTGGGGCCTGATGCAGCTGTGACATTCTCATGGGTTCATAACTTCTCTGGAATGTAGCCCCTGGCTCCCTAGCTCAGAAGCAAGACATGGGAACTGCGAAGGCTGGAAACACAGCTCCTCCCATCCTGGCCCAGGGATTCAGCGCCTGCAGCTTCACAGGGTTTCCAGGTGGCTCTGATCGTTGCACAGTAATGTATGAGAAGCACAGGCTCTTGCTGATCATCCTCAGACAATGCCAGCGTCTGTGTCATCCATCCCTGGCGTCCGTGGTTGGAATGAACCGTTTATTCACTTAGAACCCTGCAGTACTAAATGTGCAATCAACATTTATTCTTCTTCCTAATCCTTTCGTCCTTGCAGCCTCAGAAATCAGGAGAACAGAGATTTCTTCAAGCTCTTGCATCAATGAGACCCCAGTAGCCCAGAAGTGGGAACGGCCGGACAGTAAATGTTTTGGGTTTGTGGTAGTCCATCTGCTCTTTCCCCACCGTCAGCTCTGCTGTCATAGAGCCAAGCAGACAGATGGCCATCGCTGTGATGCAATAAAACTTTATTTACAAAACAGATTCAGTTTGCAGGCTCTGATTTGCCATGAAGCGATGATACGGGGTCCAGCACACAGAATCATAGCAGCAGGTCTTGGCTTCTTCAGCTGGAGAGCTGGGTTTGGATGCAATGACTTCATAATGTAGCAACTTTATTTATTTATTTTGGTCAGTTGTGGGGCTCAAACTCAGGGCCTGGATACTGTCCCTGAGTGATTTTTACTCAAGGCTAGCACTCTACCACTTTTTTTTCTTTTGTTGGTTGTGGGGCTTGAACTCTGAGCCTAGGTGCTGCAGCTCAAGGCTAGCACTCTACCACTTGAGCCACAGTGCCACTTCCGGTTTTCTCATGGTTACTTGGAGATAAGTCTCACGGATGTTCCTGCCTGGGCTGGCTTTGAACCCCGATCCTCAGCCTCCAGAGTAGCTAGGATTACAGGTGTGAGCCACGGGTGCCTGGCCACTCTACAACTTTGAGCCACAGCTCCACTCCTGATTTTTGAGTGGTTAGTTTGGAGATAAAAGTCTAATGGGGACTTTTCTGCCCAGGTTGGCTTTGAATTTTGATCCATAGATCTCAGCCTCCTGAGTAGCTAGGATTATAGGCATGAGCCATTAGCATCCAGCTGCTAGGTTTTTATTTTTATTTTTATGCCAGTAATTCGTTTGAACTCAGTGGGTCTGGGCACTGTTCCTTAGTTTTGTTTTCCCCTCAAGGCTAATGCTCTACCACTTGAACCACAGCTTGAGCCACCAGCATTTTGATGATTAACTAGAAATAAGTCTCAGGGACTTTCCTGCCTGGGCTGGTTTTGAACTGTACTCTTCAAATCAAGCCTCCTGAGTAGCTAAGATTACAGATGTGAGCCACCAGTTCTTGGCGATGGGTTTATTTTTAGATCAAGTCTCTCTCTCTCTCTCTCTCTCTCCTCTGTCATAGGAGGGAGGGTTGGCTGGGACTTAAACTCAGGGTCTGACACTTTCATTCACATACTAGCATGGTACCTGAGCCCCATCTCTAACACCATCAAGTTTTCTTCTTTCATCTCCATCTTTGTAGACACAGAATGCTTTGAGATGATGCTTGGTTTTTTGTTTTTTTTTTTTGCCTGTCCTGGGCCTTGAACTCAGGCAGGGCATGGGCTCTGTTCCTAAGCCCCTTTTGCTCTAGGCTAGCACTCTACCACTTGAGCCACAACACCACTTCCTGCTTTTTCTGTGTATGTGATACTGAGGAATTGAACCCAGGGCTTACATGCATGCTAGGCAAGCACTCTACCACTAAGCCACATTCCCAGCCATGATGTTTGGGTTTATTCTCTGTCTTCACACAACTCCCTGGCTCATTGTGTCTCAAGCTGAATGTGAATTTTGGGAACTAGACTGCAAGGCTTGCTGGGAATGAGGCTGTCTCCTCCCCTCAGGGACAGCAGGGATCAGGCATGAGGCCAGTGTGTGAGTGCTCCTGATCACAGCCTCCCGACCAGGAGCTAGTGTCCATTTTGCAGATGAGGAAGACTGAGGCACAGACAGGGTGAGTGTCTGTCTGTGGTAGCATTCCATCCTGCCACAGCTCAGGCTGCAGATTTTTAGCAAGGAGATGTGGGTGTGGCAGGTGCTGCTGCACACTTCATGTTGTCCCTGAGGTAGGGAGAGAGAGAGAGAAAGAGAGAGAGAGACTGGTAGACAGAGAGACAGGGAGACAGAGACAGAGACAGAGAGACAGGGAGACAGAGAGAGACAGAGAGAGAGAGAGACAGACAGACAGACACATGGAGCTAAGCTGCCCCATTCCATCTCAGCTAATCCCAGCCAAGCCCTCAAACAGAGGAGTGTGGCCAGTCCCAGTCTGCAGGACTCCCCCTAACTGATCTTTATGGAGCCCATACATGTGATGAGAGCCTGGCTGGCCCTGAGGGCCTGTGCTGGGCTTGTTCTATGCTGACAGTTGCTGAGCAGGGTGGAGTGGGC